AAAATATTGTAAATCTGTTTTATTGGATAATTGGTCGTGAATGAAATGAAATTTTCTAGAATGATACATCATCGTCGTCATTTCGTCTTGTTTGACTCTACTGTTGAACCTAGGCCTCCCCAACAGTCTGCACGTAGCACGATATTGAGCCACTTGCATACATCAACAATGGTAACCGACATAGCTCAGAGCATTAGTTAGCTGAAGTGGCCCTATAGCTCGAAGAACCGATAACCGATAGGCAAACTAGATTCTAGAATGTTTGTAATAATTTAATATACCGCTTTATCAGCGTAACTCAAAGAAATCTGATTAGTGCCTTAAATTCTAGATGAATCAATGTTCATAGTATCAGTGGTTAGCGATACGCACATATATTTCATAACAAACTATCAGATCTGTAAACTTATAGGAACAAATACTATTGTCGTTTCACCGAACTTGTTGAGCTCTTATTATTGAACTTGTTGTTTGCAATAATTTAATAACAGTAGCTATAAATAGAATATTAATCATCAAATCAGTCATATAAAACCTAAGAAGTAATCATATTTCCCTTATAATAATAATAATATTGACTTCATATAATAAATATCAATTCTTTCATATTTTATAATAAAATACCGTAAGTAATCCTCCCGCACCCTTTAAATGCTTATTAATCCCGTTCTTGAATTAGGTTGAATCTCAACAGCAATCATAGAAATAAGCTCAAAACGGAAAATGGGTTTCTAGGATTAATCCTTTTCCAATTCATTGTTCAGTAAAATTATTAAAATCCTTTCTAATCCTTTTAAATTCAACGTCGGATTAGACTTGACTTAGAGTTAATTCCCGAACTAGTTAATAGTAATTATAATTTTACTTTTTCAAAACTAAAATATTTCTAAAAGAGTAGGGCCACGATACAGTTTTCGCTGTTGCAAGAATGAGCAGGTCTATTCTGGTAAGTACACCACAACCTCACAGAAGACCGGAGTGAAGTGGAAGTGTTCCTACTAACTTCTGCGTTTTGTCTAGTGAGTGAGGTAGACGTAGCCCACTTTATTAAAACGTGGCAACGCATCTGCAACCCTATGGGTGTTGCTAATGTCAATGGGTGGCGGTTATCACTTAATGTGAGGTGAACCGCCAGCTCGTTTGCCACATTCTCACATAAAAAGTACGAATTCATAGAAATATTTACTAAAAAAAATATTTTTTTGCACAAATATGTTGCGATTATACGGTCACATCATAGAATATTCAAAGTAATGCATAAATAAAGATGTGACTTCGGAGAAAAAATATGAACAATGAGAAGAAATATCTGGACTAGAAACATAATCCGGCCAGTACACAACGTTTGCCATTATGGTGGAAAAAACATAACTCTTCATATATTTGTATGTTGGGCACAAATTAATATATTAAATGAATCTATATTTACAGATTTATTGCGTTTATTTTTCATTTTATTTCCTGACGTTTCGAACCCTTTTCAGCAATCACGTTCACGGGACTGATTGAGCATTGGACATCTAAATGTTAGTCCGGGCCAGTTTTTAAATTATTAATTTTGTTGATCTACACAGAACGTTCTAATTTTATCTTGTCTTGCAGTAGTAGTACGTTTGGGCTTAGATTTAATTTTATTGATGAGAGGATGCTATGTTGATGGTAGCATTCAACCCCCTGGGGAGGAGTCGGAGTTCGTTTGCAAAGATCTGTGGTATATCAAACCTGATATAATGGTTGAGGCGGTGTGCTCACAGACTGCGGGCTTATTTAATCTGTTATGTTTAATGTCAGCTAAATGTTCCTTCACGGGAGTTTTATAGCACTTTTTGTTTGACCTATGTAAGATTCACAGACGAGCTTGTAAACTCCTGGATCTTGCAGAAGGATATTGCTTTTGACAAATAGTAAAAACTGCCAAATCTTCTTCGGTGGGTTCTAAACTATATTTACGTATTTATATATACTCGAGCAACCTGAGTTCGATCCTCGTTGTCGGCACCATTGAAATTAAGTGCAATAAGTCATTATCACGTGCTCAGCGGTGAAGGAAAACATCGTGAGGAAACCTGCATAACTATATAAATTATATATAACACATGTAAATAAAAAGAAAAAAACAAATATTTCGAAGATATGTGAACTCCGACAAACCGTAATGGGGTAGCGTGGTGCACTAGGCCCCAATAACCTCTGTACAGGGTACACCTTTGTCCAGCAGTCGGACAGTTATAGGATGTAACTTTACTTTTTTACACTTAGTAATATGTAATCTCGTAAATACAAGAAAGTAAAATATTTTTATGTATCAAAAACCTTTTTATTTTTGATACATAAAAATAATAACACAGCTATTTCTTCTAATCTTTAAACAAATCTAATCTTTAAAAAAATAGTGGAATTTCAGCTTAAGCTGCAAGCATAAATAGAATTATCTTAGCTTTATACAGGATTCTCAATATAGTTAAACAAAACGCACACCAACTAACGTACTTATGCTACTGACCTCTGTACTTTCGAACTTTGTTATTAATCAACCCGATCAAAAAGAGCCCGTGTTTAAACTGATTATGAGATAATCAGTGTAGCAAACAGGAATCGTAATTATTTTAACCGAACTTTTACCAAGTGAGATACTTCGTTATTGCGATAGGGCGTAAAAATCTTAGGTTCAAGAACAGGCTTAAACTGGAGACAATTACAAAAGCGATATTATTAATCTGTTCAAAACTTTTTTAGAAAGCTTTATATAAAACATATAAAATAGATCGATGGTTCCTCTAAAACCATACAGTTAGGTTATGTTGTCTGTAATTAGAACAAATACTAACCGAACACAATTTTAAAAAGATAAATACAGCAACCGTAATTAAAAAAGCTCGAGATAATTTAATATGAACAACACATGTATGACCGGATATGACTATTTCTTTAAACGTGTATGTCCCTGGCCCTACCATAGACAAAAGTTAGTTATTCAAAATGCCCTGAAATATCAGCATTTTTGACAAAGATTTCAAGGTTATTTAATTTAAAAAAATTTTTGGTCCGTCTGAATTTTAGAAGTATGTATAAAATTTCAAAGTTCCTCCTGCCGCTTCTAATTCCTATATATTAATCACTAGCTGTTAATTTAGAACAAGACGTAACAAAACAATACTTTTTGCAGTATAGCATATAAAAAAAATATTAATTTTGCGCCTTTTAAATTTTGTTAGCAACAAGTTATCAAAACAACTAAGTTCAAACATTGCATTGTTAATAAAGACAATACATAAATATTTATGCAAAAAAAATAGACCAACAATAAAATCATTGTTTTTTTTATGTGAAAGTTGCCAAGCGAGCAGACGATTCACCTGATACTGTCGCTCATGGACATCTGCTACACCCGAGGGTACCAGATGCCTTGACAACCTTTTGAAAATTGGATTCCGCCACCTCACTCACCAGACGAAACGAGTAAAAAGTAGAGATTAGAGTCAAAAGTATTATACTTTCACTTTACGCCGGTCTTCTGTGAGGTCGTGATACTTACCCGGACGAGCCTGCCCATTCGTGCAACAGACAGGGCTGCTGGTACGGCCACGCATTTAGTTAATAGCGAAGGAATGGAATTATTTTGCGGCCTCGCCTGAGTAAAAAAAGAACATAATCTTATTAGTTATGAAATAAATTAGGTAGCAATATGCACAATAATAAAGTTGTATTATTATGTAAGTATTATTATGTATTTCTTTTACAACAACTGATTATGTACTATACGCACGTTAACATACACCCAAATCCAAACTAATTATGGGCTATTATAGCTCTCATAAAAACTTGGGGTCGAGCAGAAGACCCACGGCAACACAGCGAAACGACTAATTGATAATTCAAGATACTGCAGGAGCATATGCAAGTCTTCCATAATCTTTGGCACATTTTTAAAGGATTATTTAGCTTGTAGCCATGAATTATTGTCCATTGGCGACGACCTTGTCTCTTGCACCAGTGTTCGATACCCACGTCTGGGAAAATATTGTGTGATGAACATAGTGTTTTGTAGTGTCTGTGTTTAGATCTATAATTATTCATAAACACATAATTCTTTTGTACGTGTTTATGTCACTGAAGTCCTCCTAATCCGCTGGATCGATTTTAATGAAATCTTTTGTGTGTCTTCAGGTCGACTCGAGTGATTGACAAAGTTATTCAAAAAGTTTGAAATTTTCGAACTTAAGACGTGTGTACAGGATAAGGTCTGTCCGGTCCGCTAATGTGGTTATATATCTGTAATATGTATTTATTTACCAAAGAAAAGTATGTTTAAGTATGTTTATCACTAACCTAGTATCCATAGTACAAGCTTTGGAACATTAGTTTGGAACTAGTTAGAACTGTAACTGAAATATTTATTTATTTATTGTTACGGCCAAACAATAGCGAATCTTTGCGAACAGCAGATACCAGGGCACTCAAAGTTTTGCGAAAAAAAGTATATTTTATGTATGGGCCCTGGCTGATTTTAATTATTTTAAAAAGTTTAATTATTTAAAAGTAAAAAATTGAAATTGAAAAGTTTTAACTTCAAGCAATGTTATAAGCAATAAGCTTACTAGCGCTCTTCGCCCGAATTTTCCCACATTAAAATAATGTGAAAATAAATATTATATACTTATGAAATACGCATTTTGTCTTAGAAACGTTTTATCATATCATGCGAATCCCCCGCTTACATACACGTACAATTCTCTCACAGACTAGATTTCTCGCGGACGTTGCATTTTTTCTTTAATTGTAATTAAAATTCCAACTATGTAAACCAGCGACATTATTTTTTCGGGATCTAAGCTATCCAAATCTCATTCACCTATCAATATAACACATGTTATTGCCTTCTACCGAACCGCTTTATATTTGTACACACAGTGTGTAAAATAAAAAAGAAACGTCAGATTATGGTTATAGTTTATTTACAAATCCAGTATTTACAGTTAAGTTGCATATCTGTCCAGTTAATAGAATCGTCCGAGGGCGTAAGGAGTAGCGTATCCGTAGGCACCGAGTCTACCGAGGTTGTAGGCGTAGGGGTAGTTGTAGCCGGCGTAGGCGAGGGGAGCGGCGAGGGGAGCGGTGAGGGGAGCGGCGAGGGGAGCGGCGGCGATCAAGGCGGGGTCCTTCCTGACGACGGCGTTGAAGCCCTGGGCGCCGGCTGCGTAGTCGACGGTCCTGCGGGTTCCGTCGGACTCGAGGAGCGAGTACTGGCCCAGGACATTGCCACCGGCGCGGCGCTCGATCTGGTTCTTGAAGTCACCGGTGTAGGGGTCGGCCACGCCGTAGGAGAAGGCGGAGTAATCGGACGCACTGACAGCCGCCACAAGGGCTAGCACGATGACAAACTAAAACAATAAGTTCGTTATTTTAGATTTAACAAGACGCGACGCATGTTTAATATGAAGATGAAAAAAATTGCAATGATCTGTAAACTAATTAAAAATTCTTTAAAATAAAATGGGTATAGTTTTTTTCTGACTGTTAATGTCAAATACAGATACCGTATAGCACTGGATTTTATTCAAATTAAATTTATTGATACTTTACCTTCGCAACCATTTTGATCGTTTCGGTGATGCGGGCAGTCGCGGCTATGTCGAAGATCTGTTGGAGACTAATGATCATGGAAACCTCCGTTGGTATTTATATGAATAAAGTCTTTGAGTTATCTTTTCCAGTATCGGGCAAGCAGGAAACTCCTAAATGTCAAGTCCGAATCAGCGCGATGCCGTGGGGAGTATTCAGTGCAATAAAGCGACTAAATAACCGGTTACAATTACACGTAATATATGTTTTAAACGTAAGAGAGGGTATACTAAAGGTTCTTTATAAAATTTTGTTTACGAGAAAATCTTAAACTATTTATAGATCACTTTCACAAGCCAACCAACTTCATTCGAACGTTAAAATATGAGCTATATAACTTTGACAAACAACGCACAAGCGAAATTCTTTATCCTAGTAAAACGTATTTTTTTTCTTATCGTACTTTTATTTACTATGTTTGAAATTATAAAAAAATTAAATGTATTTTCGTTGAACAAAAATAGAGGTAAGTACAAGTTTAAACGTGGGCCTGTAACCGTTGTGTGTGTACATAAATGTTAACTGTTCACAAAAAAAATTAAATACCAAGGCAATCAAATAAATGTTTGTCATATTATAATTAAATATTTGTTAATAGATTGGCTAATAACAGTCGTAACTTTAAACATAGTAACAGGTAATTATAATCCAAAATCAGATCTTTGACCATGTGAACTATTTACTATAACTATTTAGTTCCTCATTTTATTATATGGGTCAGAAATGAAAAAGTTCGTCCACCGGAATAAGGGCAACCTCGCAAAAAGTTATTTACATAAAATATAAGACTTCTAAAATATAGACTAAACTAAAACGGAAGTACATTGTATAACCATATAGATACAGATAAATAAAATTGGAGTGTCTGTAATATTAAAATAACCGCTCTTTACTAAATGTATATGGATATATACACGGTACATATACCAAAATATTTTTTTTACAATGTCTGTCCGTCTGTTTGTTCCGGCTAATCTCTGAAACGGCTGGACCGAGTATAATATAAATCTGCAAGACATTAGCGTATATGGTAACAGCGCAAGGGCTACTGTTTTAGCAAATCTTTAAAATAAAACTTCCTGAATTATGTCACGATTTTTATAAAAAAATATAATTCAAGTGTTTCTCGTAAACAACATGACTCCTTATTGTTACATATTCAAAATGGATGAAATTTAAAGGGAGCCCTGATTATTTTTATGTTTTAGTTTTATTCAGAATGTTTTTCTTTGTATACTTTTAATAATATAAACGTTTGCAAATTTCTTAAAGAAGTATTATTTAACATACATAGTATTAAAAGTTTCATTATGTATCTGGAATATCTACTAATAGCCTAAAACAGAACATTAAAGGGTGAGCAATAAATTGAAAAAGGAAATAGACCCATTTGATTTGAATTTTGTGTCTGTGGGCCAAATAAGCCAAGCCAGCGAATATATTTCGTTTGGCAATCAATTTCAACTCTCCAAATTCAATTTCAACGAAGCTTAGATAAAAATCCCAGGCTTTGGTTAGTGAAGAAACAAAATCAAAGTGGATCAGCGGAGCAATAAATGTCTAAAGTAAAAGAATTCCCGCAGCATCTAACACTGTACGGCGAAGATGCTGCGAAGAATTTAATTTAAATGAATCTGTTTGTTGAAAATGAAGGATACGCTTTTATTTGATATTAAATCCGATCCGAATCTAATTCAGATATCGAGAATGGGTTCAGCATTAATTCATAAGAGAAATCAATATCACCAACTAAACATAACTGCTTACAGTGTCATTCAACACGTAAAAGAAAATACCACATAGCTAAAATGGTGGTTATTTTGATTTTGGTGGTGGTTGAGGATTGATTGGTGATGATTTTGTTTTGTCTGTACAAACTTTTTCTCTACCAATTTGTATACCTATATCAGAAAGTCGAGAATGTAATGGCTAGTATTTTTATGATTCGTTTTTGTTTAACAGGCATTAAAATTAATGTTTGCTCATGACCTATTATTTCGTAACAGATTATTAGTAACATACCAAGATGGCGTTTAATTTTATTTTACGGATTGTAGACATAAATTAATTTCAATAAACAATTCAAAAAAAGTTTAAATAAAAGTATCCTTCAGAAAAGAATAAGTAATTGTATACCTATAAAAATAATTGTATACCTAACAAAAAAATTATTTTGCTTCAGTTATCGATTTTAATGTAAAACTTTTTATTTGACCTACTTTATCTAATCAAAGTAGAATAACTTATTTAAATTATCGACGTCAATGATTTCAAGTAAAGCCATTTTGTTTTAATTTTATTGATGTATCTTTATCTATTACCTTGCCAAGTTATAAATACTATTCAAGTCGGTTGTGAAATAGGATATGTTAAGCGGGGGACTGTAATAAAATAAAAATTATCCCTTAATAAAATATTAATGCCTACTTGTATAACCGAGAATTATTAAAAAAAATCTCAATTTCCAATATCTATTATCATTCCGCTCGCAGCAGTCGAGACGAACGCACGCCTTGGCACGCGCTCTCTCTACTCTGCTACTCCCCACCCCTGTCCGCTTCCGCGTGCCGACTCGCTCGCCGCGGACGCTCAGTCGTCGCGCACCGCGCGCCGCGTTCACTCGTAATTTTTATTACGAGTGGGCACCCCGCTCGCAAGTCGAGTTGCGAGGTGCAGTTCTGACTGCGCCGACCAACACGCTTAGCAGCGGTTCTGTTTCGACGTCTTAGGGCTAGTGGATACCTAACGGTGATAACGAAGCTAGCCAAGGCTTGCCCCGATCGCCTTGCGGTTCTCTCCTGAGAACCGCGAATTTTCGGAAGGGACCACCATCACGGGCCTTGGGTGTAGTCCCTAGTCAGCGGTGGTCCACGTTTGGCCTTTTAGCGCCCTCGGGTAGTTTTAATTAGCTATAAGTACACACCCGTGTGCACAATAAGATCGGCACAAGGACGCACTAGGGCCACACAATTTAGGCACTCATCCTCCCTGCCTACACCCGGCAGGGAGGGATACGGGCACACACCCCGGCATCCCTCCGGGCGTATTGCTTGTTTTAAAATATTACGTCTTATTTACTAAATTAAAAAATGGCCGAAGTAAAGGCCCTCCTCGAGTTTCTCCGGGAAAAGTTCCCGGAAGCTATCCCCGACACCCTTGAGGTGTTGAGGGGACTCTCAAGGCCCCGACCCCATCGCCTTCAGCGAATCAACCCACCCCGGTTGCCTCACAAGCAACCCCCGCGCCTCCCGCAGCCCCCCGTGCGCCGCAGGACAAGCGCCCTCCACCCCTTTTCATCAGGGACACTGACAAGTGGCCCATGATAGTATCAGTCCTATCAAACAGGCTGAAATTCGTAGCTACAACGACCGCACAAGGTATCAAGCTTCAGCTTGAAACCGCTGACGCCCACCGCCAAGTCTCTAAATTTCTCAGGGACAAACAAATCTTCTACCATACCTACACGCTGGCCGAGGACCGAATCCTACGCGCCGTCATTAAGCGCATTCCCGCGAACATTCCCACTGAAACGGTGCTTGAATCCCTTAAGGAGCAAAACCTCCCCGTCCATGGTCCACCGCATGAAAAGTAAAAGAAAGCGCAGCCCTATTGACATGGTCATGGTCCATTTAGACCTCTCTCCAGAGGGGAAAGCAATCTTCAATATTGAGTCGGTCATGGGACTGACCAATATTGTTATCGAACCTCCGCACAAGGCCACCCTCCCGGGACAGTGCCACAAGTGCCAAAATTACGGGCACGCCGCCCGTAACTGCTTTGCCAAGCCACGGCTCCCCGGAATATCCCAGACCAAGGGACAAGGCCCTTCTGGCCAACTACGGTCCACCTGCATGCGTCCTCTGCCAGTCGGAAAGACACACAGCCAACTATCTTGGCTGCCCGAACGCACCTAAGCGCAGACCAATCAGGCCCGCACCTCAGGCAACAAGAAGGCAGCCGATTCCAACGGCCGCCTCATTCCCTCCTCTTCGCCCCGCGTGGAAGAACCCCATGGCCCCCGCTTGTGCCAAACCGAATCCGCCACACGCGGAACCCAAAACAGCCCCTCAACCGGCGCTCATCCCAACACCACCAAAAGCGGCCGGGGGCAACCCCCTGGACTCGCTAAGTCAACTCCTCCGAACCGTCGACATGGCGGAGGTAATGTATTTTGCCGAGCAGTATGCCAAAGGCAACTTCAGCTCGCGATTACTCCTTCTGAACCAGTACCAGCACATAGTTGCTGCGCTTTCAGTTTAAACCAACATGGATAGCACAACTAGAAACAATAATAACAAAAATATTAGTCCCTCCGCCACGCGTAATAACGGCAGAGTCAAACCGCGATCGATAAATGTAGCATTCTACAACGCGAACGGGCTTAAAGAGCAACGCGACGAAATACGTATTTTTTCTTACGCGACCACCAAATAGATATACTACTAATTCAGGAGACGTTCCTGAAACCCGCGACAAGGGATCCGCACATCCCCAACTATCGGATAGTTAGAAACGACCGTGCCGGCGCCCCGGGCGGCGGCACACTAATTTACTATAAAAACTCCCTCCACTGCGTACCGGTAGATACGCCCGCGCTCACGCATCTCGAGGCCTCCGTCTGTCAGCTGGCACTAACCGGCCACTCTCCCATCACCTTAGCATCAGTATACCTCCCTTGCAGATCAACTGCAACAATACTACAATCAGATTTCGAGGCCCTCTTCTCTATAGGAGGAGCCACCATCCTAGCAGGCGACTTCAACAGCAAGCACACCCGATGGAACTGGACACGTACCAACAGTCGAGGTATCGCACTCAACTCGCTATCCGACAGGCTCAACTTTGAAGTTGTAGCACCCGTCGAACATACGCACTTTCCCTACATAGCGGAGCCCCCCCCCCCCCCCCCCCCCCCCCCCCCCCCCCCCACCCCCCCCCCCCCCAAACCAAGACAGTCATTAGTTGGCATAAAATAAAAACTAGATTCAACGAGCCCAATCCTCCGCTTTTGCAATCAATTCCCGACCAACTTAGTAACA